GCTGGAGGAAGCCAAGCTTCATCCGAAATAAAAGTACAACAGCTTGAGGACTAGTTCTGGGGAGTTCCTTCAGCACTGTAGGATGCTGCACTGAGAGCAGGTGCTTTCCGACAGATCAGATCTAGCTCAAGCTGGAGCTGACTGCGGGAAATCTGGGATCTCTGTTACACAGGTCACACTGGACAATTGCAATGGGGACGTCTGACCCTGCGTAGGATCTCCTGGAAATCAGGGTCTTAGGGATTACCTTGATGTAGCCCGTCCATGGCACAGGTGGTTGCTTCATGGAGGAGGCAGCTCAGGAGTAACCTGCCAATGAAGAACACGGAGTCCCGGTGTTCTCCCATGGGTCAGCGAGAGAGCGGAGTCCATCAGCCCGGCTGTTGTTTTAATCTTAAAAACAAGTACTGTATATAATAGGGAAGGAATTTGTTCTCATAATAATTTTATGAGATGCTCTGTTATTGTGTAGTCATGTCATTAGCTGTGGATTAAAGCCCAAGGCAAAGCCTAATCCTGAACTTGGCAGCGAACAAAGGACTCACCGCTGAGCCCAAGCTCACCCAGGTGGGAACGCGGGTCTCAGCACAGGTTGGGTTTCCATCAGGGCACCTACCGGGGGGTTTCCAGGAGCAACGTGGCTGCAGGGTTGAAATACAGGTGCTCCTCAATCCCGCCTTTAAGCCTGCTGCTGGTCAAGAGAAAGCCACAGAGCCCAGCAGCTAATCTCCCAGGCCTCAGTCTCTCCGAGTGCAAAGCCTGGGGATTACAGGTTGACTGACCCACATGGAAAATATGATACAGAGAGCTCCCGTGGCCGCTGCAGTAAGGGCAAGCTGGGAAGCCCTCTGCAATTGCTGAGTTGGCATCAGCCCCATCATGAGGTGCTTAGAGATACACAGAAAAGAGGGGACAGACCTCACTGTAAAGCAGTTCTGACCCCAAAATGATCAATTTTTCTTTGTCCTTGAAAAATAAAAGCAATTCAAGGGCAAATTGCCTTTAAATTGTAGAAGGTCCCCTTCCACCTGGGGAGGGGGAGTGCTGGAGGGGTGCAAGTGCCTTAGCATCTCACACCAAACGCTTTTCCTTGAGCCCATCTGGTGTTTCGTTGTCACAAAACAGCACGCCAGAGAGAATATTTGAAAACTAAAACTGCTCATTCTGCCCCGCAGCGAAAATGCATTGCAAGCACATGCCATCGCTTTGGCTCTGAAGCGCCTTCTCCTTCCCTGTAACGAGCGTGCAGTGCCTCCACCTCCATGTACCCCAGGCTTGCTCCTCATTCATCCTCCCCGAGGACCATAGCATGCAGAAAGCTGGAGCCAAAGTTAGATGGTGGATGACCTACCTGCTATCTGGGGCTGCATTGGTAGAGATGAGCTAATTAGAGCCCTATTTATCCCGCTGGGATCTTACAGCTGTAGTCACCGTTGGCAGCTGAGCACCTGGCAAACGAGCAAAAAGCTCATCTGTTGGGAGCTGACTGCTTCCGTGGCTGCAGTGACAGGACTGGTATGAAATTCTCTTGGAGAGCTGTTTTCGATGGCTCTTTTATGGGGGAAGAAGATGGGTTATTGATTACGGCAGTGGTGCTTCAATGGGCTTTGCAGGTGGCCAAGTGGAGAGCATGGATGCCCTGTGAGCAATGACAGGCTGGAGGGCTGCCCCAACACACATAAAAGAATATCCCGATGTCCTTGGGTGATGGTATCACCCCTGCTGCTCTTGCAGGAGAGACTCAGGCACTTTTGGCATAGTTTTCTCCTTTTTTCCTCTACTCAAAAATCGGCTCATATTCTCTCAGTAACCTCTCTGGGGTCCTGATTATAGATACCAGAGACTTGATCCCATTCTCGTGTGCAAGAGAACAAGCCTTCCTATTGATAGGAAGCCAAGCTCACTGTGAGCCCACCTATCAGTGACTTCAAACCATCTTTCCAACTGTTGTTCCATAATAACTTTGACTAACTGTACTATTTATTGGCTCACATCGCATCCTTATGGCTTCAATTTACTTTTGGAAAACGCAACCCACATTTAATTAGTTTATAGTTTGTTCCAAGTTTTGCTTATCCAGCTTTTTTTGGTCTTTTTTTTTTTTTTTGAAGTTTGTATTTTGATGTTTAGCATTTGCCTTGGCAACATCTGGAACCCCTTTATGGAAGTGTATTGTTACTTTTACTGCTCGTGCAGCTTTATTAAATCATCTGAGTATTAATATTGAAAGTGTTCATCTGGGTCTAATCAGGGCCAAGATGAGTGATGTGGCAGTTAAATTGTACCTACGAGCTAATGGTTCAAGGACACAACGTCCTGAAGAAACTTGCAGTGGGCTTTGTGCTCTTCTTTTTAGCTTCCTAGAAGAAGGAGGGGGGGGTGGAAAGAGATATTCCTGCTCTGACCTTTCTTGCAGAGCAGATAACAGAGTCGCAGCCTGAGATAGTTTAGAACAATTTGTCTCCAAAGAATTTTGTCCGGTTACTGCTATATTTCTGGATCTCGTTTCCATATTTAACTCCTTCATCTGCCCAGGCTTCTTCGCTCCGCAGTGCAAACGAGTACCAAGTCAAGATCCCCACCACGCGTGCCAGTACAATACTGCTGGGGATGACGTTCTGCTCTAAGACCTCAAGCAAACCCTTGATATAAATAAGTAAATAACGTACCCCATGGGTATAAATACATAAATAACAAACTCCATCGCTCTGCTGCATCAGCGACATCTACAACCTGCGTTTGTTCATTTGCTTCTCCTCCGCAGGGCCCCCAAACATCCCTGGGGTGATGGTGCTGAGCCTGCAGTCCTGCGGGAGCACGCTGCAAGCACAGCACGAGCCAGGGCATGGATGGGTTGAGCTGATGGGGGGAAAGAAGAAATATGGCAGCGACACCGCCAGAGCACAGCCCTGGGTGTGGTAGGGCTGGGTTTTGGGGGCAGAAACCAATCTCCCTTCAATTCTCCGCTCCCACGTAGCACCATGAATGGAGTTTGTAGAGCATTGTAGAGAGTTTGTGGCTGTTGCTGTAGATCAAGAGCCTCACACAAAGGCTGGGCTTAATTTATGATCCGCCTCCAAAACTCTCGTCATCGAGAGAAGTTTTGCCCAGGATCCTGCGAGTCCTGCCCTGGCAGACTGAGGTGGCGAGGGTGGCTTGCACTGGCTGTACATACTTCAAATCCCGGCCGCAGGCACAACTTCAGTAGCTTACCCCTGGGTGGATTTGGGGCATTGAGTCTGTTGAGGTCACCCCCAAAATCCCTAGGTGCCTCAGCAAGGTCAGAGCAGCCTAGTGGATGAGGGGGATGCTGAGCAAGAGGTTGCGGGCAGCATCCTCACCCACTCTGCTGCCGGCTCCCCCACTGCCTTGCACAACACCGTCCCTGCTGCGTCGCGTTTTAAGCATTGCATGGGTCATTTAAACCAAGATTTCCTCCTTCCAGCCTTCAGATGCAACAGGCTTTTCTTCTGCAGCCAGGTTTCCCCTCCGCCATTAACCTTGGCCTTACCTACGAGGCCACGGGAGCTTGTAAACAGTTTATTTCTGTGCAGGAGCCTTCCAGCAGCTCTTTTATGGCCCTCTCGTGGAGGGGGGTCTGAGCCGGTGGGGGAAGCAGAGCAGGCATAGCAGATGCTGTCGGAGCAGGCTACGCCCCCCGGATTTGGGAAGCGGAGGAGTTAAAAATCCCATTTTGCTGTTGGGACAATAAATGTGTTAAAAAGGAAAGGGACCGGAGGCTTGTCTGTTGGCTAAGGGCAGGTGGCAGATGTGGCCACCAAGAACGCAAGAGGTCCTGCAGGATGCCCACAGACCCAGGGTGCCCATGGGTATTCTCCTGCATCACCAGGGCCTTGGCTGTAGGGGCTGAGACTTTCCGAGCCACAGTCGGGGACTTTGCAGTTTGTTTCTTTTTCAAACTAATGGCTGGTGATGGAAACCCCCTGTGATGGCAGTGGCCGCACAACGGGCCACCGCTGCCCTTTCTGTAGGGGCTGGGAGGCTTGGGGAGGCGGCAGGCAAAGAAGCATGGATGACCCAAACCTTTGAAAACTTAGCTGCTGTAGTTCAGGTCCCTACCTGAACACTCTTGAATGTATTTATTTAGGCAAAAATTTATAAATATACATTTCTACATAAGCCACATAGTGAGTTCTTTTTGTTTTGTTTTGTTTTGTTTTTAAAAAAGGACATTTAGCAGCCTTAAAACAGGAAGTTTAAATTTAGCTGGGATTTATCCCTTAACTGAGCATGGTTCCTTCACCCTTTGTATAAAAATAGAGATAATTTTATGCCCGTGAGATACAGGCAGAGCAGCTCCACATGGGCAACAGTTATTCCTGCTTCTGGGGCTGGATCCGGCACTCCAGGGCAGGAAAGTGGCTCATGCCGGGCTGGGACAGAGCGGGCGGCAGAGCCAGGGCAGGAGCAGCCCAGAGCTCGGGAAGCCTCAGCCCATCGTTTATTGCCAAAGACACAGATGCTCGGGGAGCGGGTGGCAAAGACATTCCCCAGCTTGGGCTCGTTGAACAGGCAGAGGGAGGATGAGGAGGCAGCAGGAGAGGAGGGAGCTGCATCAGTGTGGCCATGCATCCCTCCCCAGCACCTCTACCCCCCCAGGGAGGGGAATAAATAAAGTCTTCAGGCACGCAGAGATGACCCTTTTTGGATACTGTGTGCACTCAGGATGAGGGGAGACACTGATTTCAGCCTAGGTTGTAGAGGAAGAAATAAACTTCCCCGTGATGATAAACAGTATGGGAAACGTGGAGGGAAAACATGTTTCTTTGTGGCTTCCTGGGTTCTGCAAAGCATCCCTCCATCTAGGCTTTGGCACAATCTAAAGCACATCTGACCAAGCAACGGAGCAAAAGAAAACCTAGTAAACAAATGGATGGATAAAAAGGGATAATTCGGGCTCCTTCTCCACTGGGTGTGCGAATCGCTGAAAATAATTGGTGGTTATTTTCCCTTACCCCCGCCGCCTCTCTGCCCCGCAGCCTGCTGTGCCGCTGCCCGCCGCAGCCTGAAGACCAACCTGTGCAAGTGGTGTGACTCCACGCCACCGGCCTGCGAGGAGAAGGTGTGCTACAGCAACTGCAACCTCAACTCCTACTGCGAGGACCCCTACGAGATCTGCGTGGCCATATGGTAAGCGGCAATCCCCCTCGTCAAGGGGGGAGCGCAGGGGAAAAAAGGGTTCGCGGGGCAGCAGCTCCTGGGAACACGTGTATCTATCCCTGCACTTGAATTATGGCCCATTCAAATAATTCAGGACTTTCTATTCCTCCCTCTCTGACTGCGTTATAATCAAAATTACGATTCGCAGTAAAAAATTATTTGGTCTGTCCTGTAATTTTTACCAGTTTATTTCCTAAATAAATTAAGCATTTAAGTGCCCAGCACAAAGTGTGGCAAGTTTGCTGCGGGACCTCTAAACCTCCATAAACCCCTGAATTTAGCTTTACAGGTTGAACCCATTGGGCAACACCAGCAGCCCTGACCCCCAAACCCATGATTGTCCTCCTGCGTCAGGCTGGGGAAACACCAGTTCACATACAGGGGCGCAGTCCAGGTCTGTCCCCATCTGGTGCATGGACGTCTGACCTGGTACCGAACTGGGAGTTAACCCGCTGGGTTTAAGCCACTTCCTTCCCATCCCTTTTCTGCAGAAAAGCCCTTTTCTGCTTCTCCTGGAGATGCCTGAAAGGGAAACACAATCTTGCACGTCAGGCCAAGCGTACGCTGCATCGTTTGCCCGGAAGAGTGCCTCCCCCAGCTTTTTGGTCCCCATGAGCAAAACTAAAAAAAACATCCATTTTGGGTCTGCCCAGAGTGATTTTCTCCTATTTCCCTTTTACTTTGCCTGCCAAAGTGCACGTTTGCCAAAGAAAAAGCCAGCCAAGCACTTATCGCTAGGCTTTATCTCAACCTGCTAATTAGCGTGAATGCTGCACGCCCCGCTTTCAGTAGGAGTTTGCCTCAACATAATTGTTGCATTATGGACTTAAAAAAAACACCAAAACACAAAACCAATAAGAAACCCAAACAAACAAACAAAATCATCCCTGCCCCCCCTGCCCCAAATTCCCCTACACGCAGATGGAGAAGCCACCTTAAATGTTGGGTTGGCAATCCAGCATCTCGCTGGGTTTTGCCATTGACAGCCTACATGTACAGGAAAAAGCAAGACCTCCTGCAGCGTAAATTCCCATGCCAGGAAAACAATCCCACAGCATGGGATGGGGCTGCACCTCACACCACGTATCGGATGGGGTGAGGCAACTGCGAGGTCACAAATAACCTGAGCAACGTGCTCGTGTCCTCCAGCGTGCCCAGCCTGGGCAGCCCCCAGAGGAGGGATTGCACACACCTGGGACTCTTCAGCCGGAAGCTCCTCTGACAAATTACCTGGGAACCCCAAGAAAATGTGGGGAGCACTGAAACTAGGGGACTTCAGTAGCGAGAGGATGACAAATTTGGGTTCTTTCCCTCACTTTTATGTCTGACTTCCCAGCTGACCTCAAAGGCATCATGAAACCTCTCCATACCTTCACCCTTCCACTTTGCACCACGAGGTCGGAAAAGTTGTTAATGGTTGTAACTTCCTTCGAATACCCCGAGGAGTAGCTGCAACACTTGCCAGCCGCCCGTAGCCCACACGGGGCCAGTCATCCCCCATCACTTGTCCTCACCCCAGGGCTGCCCTGCAAACACGACCATCCTGCCACCTCTGGGGAAAGCCTTGGAAACAAGGGTTGAGCCCTGGCACTCTGCTTTTAGCTTTTAATTCACTCTTAATTACTCACTGGCTCTACAAGGCAGGCACTGATCCTCCCTATAGGAGAAGGCCTCCATCCCAGGTTGTGTTTACGCGGTGGCGCTGGCAGGGCAGTAGCCGTCTGGCCCTGAGCTGCCCAGCATGTCTCATGTGCTGTGCCATCAGCCCACATTTAGCTCCCCTCCAGCTCTCAGGGTGCAAGAGGCTCCATCGTGACACCAACAGCTGCCTCCTAATCCCATCTCCAAGCTCCAACTCCTTTCAGCTGCCACCACCGGCCCCACCAAGGGACATATCCCAGTTCTTGCTTGGTTATTCCTAAATCCACCTGGGCACTCCAGTTTTTGAGGATCTCCACTGTTTACTCCCCAAACATCTTCCCTCACCCAGCTTGGTAAACCGTGGGTGGAGATGAAGCCATGGGTCCAACAAGGACGACTACCCCACGCATCAGAAGAAGGGAGCTCCCACATGCCGGGATGTGGCTGTGCTGGACCCTTTTGCTGAGCTCCCTCGCGTTGAGGCAACACTGCTCGGATCCGTTGGGAGAGCTGGGGTTTTCCAGCAACACAAGTGCCCTGTGCACGAGGAGTCAGATGACAACCAGAGCCAAACCCATCCTTTTGCTCTACATGTGACGTATTTCCATGGCTTTAATGGCAGCCTGATCTAGGTGGTGCTGAGCAAGAAATGTGGCCCATGAGAAGGACCTAACCTGGCTACTGAGCATTGGTGGTTAAAAAAGCTCTAAGGACATCAGCACTACGGAGCTAGATCTGGTGCTATGAGCCATGTTTCAGCGAGTAACTGGAATTTCATGCATGAGACCCTTTGGTAATAGGCCTCGAAATATTTCACCTGGTCTCACTGCACTTACTGAACACTTGTGTGCAGTTAAACGCAAGACGGGCACTGGGATATTTTGCATTTTCACTCCAGAAAGGGAAAAATCTCTTGGGAAGTCTTCGCTCCCCCAGCTCCCATCTCTCAGCTGGTGGGAGGGACATCTCCGTCTCCCCTGGCTGATGTTGTGACCATCACTGTCACGGGGCTTGCTACACAAAGCTGAAGAAATACACAGCGATTAAAAAAGGCAAAAGAAAAATAAAGCAAGTCTGTCCATTCTTTTTGAAACAAAGAACAGATTTTCTAGAAATGCCAAGAAATTACACTTTTACCTCCCTCTTAATTATATTACACTTTTACCTCCCTCTTAATTATCTAAATGGAAATAAGGGCTTGTTTGCCATCACATCCCTGGTTGTGCAGAGCCCCTACGCTCCTCTGCCCCAGACCTGGTGTGGACCGGGACACCACCAGGTGACACAGTAGGTTTAATTCATAGTTGCTCGGTTCCTGAAGCCATGGTATGAATGCAGACACAGCCCCAGGAGTCATATCACCTTCACATTATAATTTGGCAGCTCCAAAGGTCAAGCAGTTTCTAGATATAGCCCCGACCAGCGACTGAAGGGCTCTGCTCCCACAGGTTGCCGGAGTCAGGAGCAAATGGTCCTGCAAGGACAGGGCTCAACAAGCAGCAATTAGCCCAGAGAGAGCCCGGGGGATGAGATGGCGCTTATGGGCTCCACCTGCACTCATGGGTTGAGAGGAGCAGGAGGGAAGCACAAGCCAAGCGGTTGCTGGCGAGTGGCCACCGTGTCCCCTACCTCTCACCTTTTCACCCTGCACAGGTGAAATTTGGGCAGCAGAGACCCCATCCCCTTCTGAGGCAGAAATCTTATGACTTGCATTGCAGCAGAGGTGACATACAAGGTGGCACCCTCATTTTGGAGGGTTTCCTTAGGACCATACAGCCCCAAAACCTGCTGGCCCAGCAGCTGGTATTGGCAGAGGAAGGATTTTGTTCCAAATCCCATGCAGGGCACTCAGCCTTAGGGTTGGCACTACCTATTCCAAGGTGGGACTATGAACTGGTGAATTATCTACTGGAAACAAGCGGAGTCTCTGACTCACATCCTCCTATTGGCATGTGCTACACATTTCTCTTTTCACCATTTGGAAGAGATAAAGGGCTTTAACAAAGCCTGTCCAAAGCATGTATAATTAGAATTATACCAGAGCCACTGCAAACAAGTCATACCCTACACAGCTTAAAATGAACGATCTTAAAACCAGGTTTAAGATGACACGCAGGTGACACGAAGGCTGAGCTGTGAGACTAACGCTTTGCCGGTTCATTTGGCACACGCAGGAGACAGGACAACGAGAGCATCAGGATCAGCACCCTCTGCCACAACCCCCACCGCCCCATCGAAAACCTCATGGTGCCCAACTACAACACCTCGCGCTGCATCATGACCCATCAGCCCAGCGAGGACGGGATCATCTACATCTGCGGCTGCGTGGACGAGCAGGAGTGCAACGATAAACTTATCTTTGAAAACCACACCAACGGTGAGTACTTTTGTTAATGTTATTTATGGGTGGAGAAGCACCCAACACTAATGACAAATAACTTGTATTTCCAACAGAGTAGGAGATGCAATGCCAGCAGGAGCTCTTTCAGCATCTCCTGTGACCTCTTTGACATCTTCTTTTACCTATGTAAAAGCTAGGTAAAATTTGTACCCTGTCACTGACCCCAGTATTTTGTCCGTGGCTAAACCATCCCTCCCAGCAGTGCCTCCCGCCTTGGTCTGGAAACATCAGGCGATGGAAAATCCATGGTATCTCTCGGTGGGCTGTACCCTTCAGTGCAGGGCCAATCAACTGGGGAACCCAGCAGCTGATGTAACCCAGCGTGAGTCAATGCTCTGAAAGCTTTAAATAAATTGCGCCAGAGCAAATCCTGCCCCGGCACACCCACGGGAACCGCTGGCGTCCACCACGGCTGCAACCCAAAAAGGTGGTGGTGCCATGGAGCGGGGCTCAGCAGGCGGCAGTGCCTCCCCTGCCGCTCTCCTGGGGGTTTCTGCAGCGGCGTTTCCTCTGGGGAAGGGATGGCCAGAGCCGCCCCGGTGCTGTACACATACGCGAGCACAGCTTAGCACGCCTGTAGATGCTTCTGCAGGTGGCTGGAGATCCAACAGGAGCTGTAAAGCCGCAGCAGGGAAAACTAAGAGGCAGCTCGTTTCTGAACCTCGTGAGAGTTGCGTACTTTGGAAACGCTTCCAGCTAGATCCCGAGCCTTTGGGGGGCTTGTCCAAACCTCCCCAACTCCAAATCGACCAGGTTTATCCAAGTGCCCATCAAGAATCTGACCCATAACAAAGGCGAAGCGAAACCGTTCTGATTTTCTGTAATTACAGAACAATGGGACGCTGAAAACGAGCCTAAGCATAACCTGCAAGTTGGCGGCATAGCTTCTCCCACAGTGCAAAGAAAAATGAAAAAAAAAAAAAAAAAGAAATCACATAAAATGCAAATTCTCAGAACAAACAAGCTGCTTTTAATGAAGGCAAACGATGCTAAATTTGGCAGTTCTTTGCTGCTTGCCGAGCCAAACATAACAGGTACACACACTTCTAGGGAGAGATAGTCAAATCCCAAAGCCGACGCTGGGATATGTAATTTCACACAAAAATGACAACTGGCTCATTGGAAATGCCACCCCCACCAAGGGCTTCCACAAACAGCCGCCTCCTGCCAGCCCGCACGTAAAGTGCCGAAACTCAGAGCGAGAGCAGTGCGGGCCTTAAACAATTATCTCCTCTGATTTGGTCTCTGGGATGAGCTTGGGAAGCCTCAGACTCAGAGACCCCATTGCTTACACCCCTTTCGTCTGCTTTAAAGGATCGTTTGCCTTTTAAAAGTTAACATATGATCTTCTTCAACGGTATAGACAAACGCTGAGCAGAGAAATACCTAATAGAGAGGAGCATTTCTCCAGCAGCTGAAGCAGGCAGATTTTTTTCCCATTTCTCGATTTCTTAAACCCTGCTCTCGGGTCTGGGCTGCTGGATGGCACTGTCCTACCACCGGGGCTGCAGGGGACCCCATCAGAGCTCAGGGACGACCCTAAAGAACACACGGCAGCGTCGTTTCCTAAAGCCGTGCAAGCAGGAGCCCAGCAGACACCCTGGGAAAGCACCGGGGTGGGGTTGAGCATGCAGAGTCTTCTCCATCCCTGCGCCAGCTGAGCCCAGCCCTGGAGGTCCACCTCCCCCTGACAGGGATGGAGAGACCCACGCAGCGATGCTCAACAAGGTGTGGGTTTACAGACCTGCAGGTCTCACCACAGCAGCTACATTTGCTCTCCATGGAAGGGGTCTAAGCCGTGCTGCAGACCCTCCGTATCCAAGGGCTTGCATCGGGAAGGGGCATCCTCCCGAAGGAATTCGCTGAAGTTGTGTTAACTTCCCCTTTTCAGGACTGATGCGTGCAACTCCCTTAAAAATATCTTCTCTTCCTTCAGCATTTCAAAGATGGGATCGCGAGCATCGGGTAAATCCATTAAAGCAGTAGGTGATATCCAGGCCTAACACTTTCCAAAATAAACATATTCCTGAGTTAGTTATTGATTTATATCAGTTTAGGTTGATCTTGTGGTTTGAACCTGATGCCTATTTTAGAAACGCTTTCACAGCCTTGCAGAAATTAGCTGCAGCACATTTTTTTGAAATTTGCCAAGGAAAATAGCGAAACGCTCTGTTTTTCCAGAACCTGAATTATGATCTGCACACACTGAGGTCAAGCAGCGAGAGTTTTGCTTATGGAATGATTCTTATCCCTCTTCCCCTGGGTTATTATACTTGGCAGAAAAACCTCTGAGTAAGATTTTACTTGAATATCTCTACTGAAGTCAGCATGTTTATTCCAGGAATCATGAACATCAAAGGATCAGACAATTATATGTTGTGCGAGGGTTAGGGCTTTTTGTGTGCTCCCCCTGCCTCGATGATCTGAAGGCTGACAGTGGTTTAAAAGAAATAAAACAAAAGCAGCCATGCCCGCTCAGTTCATGGGGGTCGGTGTTGTAACATGGCGAGGAAAGAGATGCCAACATGGACAGGCAGCACTGAAATGATGCTCCTTTACGCTAATTACCGTGCAAAGCATCCAGATGTTCTCCCGCAATGCACGGTCCTGCACGTTGCCCACCCCCCCGCCAGCATCCTTCCCAGCTCTCTGTGCACCACAGGGGTCCAGCAAAGCCCCAGCCCCAAATTTGCTGTTTGAACTTTGCCTCAGCTTTATCGCTGTTATTCCCACCCCGGCCACCCTTGCCGTGAGCACAAGCGGGGCTTGGGAGCTGCCAGAAGGACAGCCAGGCCATTTTGGTGGCAGCAGCAGGATCTCACCCGCTGCATCACGCGGCCTGGAACCCTCGCTTGATAAATGGAGCTAAATTTGAGACCTAAACCGAGCAGCTCCTTCGGTAACTGCCTACATCTGGGATTCTCTGGTGGGACGGGGTCTGTGTGCAGCGTGCCTTGTGGCCCTGCGAAGGGCTGCACTTCATTAACGGCTTCGCATATTTTCCTCCTCCACGTGATGAAAATGAGCTGTTGCAGACCCCGCGGCGGCAGCGCCCTCGCCTTTCCTTTCCTCCCCACAGGCTACTCCATGCTGCAGAGCAAGGAGGTGATCCCGGTGGCTGCCATCAGCCTCCTGCCCCCGCTGCTGGTGGCGGTGATGATCACGGTGATATTCTACCTCTGCCGCACGCAGAAGCGGCGCAAGAGAGCCAAGGCGTGGGGTGGGAAAGTGGGGCAGCCCCCGGCGCTGCCGGAGCCAGGGAGGTCCACCGAGCAGGAGGAGAAGTTGTCCGTGCTGATGGATGAGACCCCAGCCAGCACCGGCCCCACCTGTGCCAGCAGCAGCCGCTCAGGGCAGTACGAGACGGTGGCCGTGAAGATCTTCCCCTGTGAGGAGTACTCCTCCTGGAAGAACGAGAGCCAGATCTTCACCGACGCCAGCCTGAAGCACGACAGCGTCCTGCGGTTCCTCACGGCCGAGGACCGGGGTGCAGGGCCCCGCCGGGAGTACTGGCTCATCACCGCCTACCACAGCCGGGGCAACCTCAAGGACTACCTCTCCCGCCACATCCTGAGCTGGATGGACCTGCAGAAGATGGCGGGCTCTCTGGTGAGTGGGGTGGCCCACCTCCACAGCGACTACACCGCCTGCGGCAGGCCGAAAATCCCCATCGCCCACCGGGACATCAAAAGCACCAATGTCCTTGTGAAGAACGAGCAGGAGTGCGTGCTCTGTGACTTCGGCATCGCCATACGCCTCGATCCTTCCCTGACAGTGGATGACTTTGCCAACAGCGGGCAGGCAAGTATGACCTGCTGGCTCTCCCCAGAGGGGACCCTTTGCAAACCACCCTTGGTCACCCTGCACCCAAAGTCCTTGCCCACCCCTGCTAACACCTCTCTCCTCTTTGCGGGCAGGTGGGCACTGCCAGGTACATGGCCCCGGAGGTCCTGGAGTCCAGGGTAAACCTAGAAGACCTGGAGTCTTTCAAACAGATGGATGTCTACTCAATGGCCCTCGTTTTGTGGGAAATGGCCTCCAGATGCGAAGTGGTAGGAGGTAGGACCATTGCACCGAGGTTGCCACATGCCTTTTTGCTCCCTTCCTCCCCACACAGGGACGTGGCTCACCTTCGCGTCCCCGGCAGTGGCACGGGACCTGATTTGGGGTGGCTTGGGTCTCTGCAGGGCTGCTAAGAGCTGGCGGCAGCTCCTCCCCCGTGGCTGCCTGCCCTGTGTGCCATGGCTGGAGGGGGACAGTTCAGTGGCCGAGGAGCAGGACGAGCCCCCAGGGGGTCATCTGGTCCAGCCCCGCTCAAAGCCGGCCAGCGGCCAAGTCACATCCGAGTCGGTGCTGGTGAAGCAAAGCCAACCGAGCAGCAGGAGCCAAAGCTGCCTCCTCCTCCCCGGCCACCAGCACTTTTTTTTTTTTTTCCTCCTCTCGGACAACAGCAGAGGGTTTATGTTGCAATGGGGACTCGCAAACTCCAGCCTCCAACAGAGCCACATCCCTCCTTGCTTCCCAGAGCCACATCCTGGCATCTGAAATTGTGCATAGCAAAACATTTAATTAAGTGCCCTGCTGCTAGCCCCAGCCTGCCCTTCTGCCTGCTCCCCTCTCTTCCCTTTTTAGCTCTCTCCACTTCCTTCCCTATCCCACCTGCTTGCAATACAAGCCCACGGAGCTGCAAGAAGCTCCAATTCTCAGCAAGAAAGCTGCCCCAACCACCCCCGTGTGCCCCCTACTCAGTGGTGGGAGAGCCTTGCCATCTCAGATGCCCTGTGCATCCTTTGCTCCCGAGCCCGCGTCCCGAGCCATCCCTCCCCACCTGTATTTCACCTGCATTCACATCCAGACAGAAGCTGGCAGAAACCAGGGTGGCCTGTCACCTCTGCAACAGGGGTTTTCTCCTTGGCCTTCCACGACATGAGGTGGCTCTTCTGGAAGGGCCGTTTCTTCTCTAAGCTGATCCATGCCCGCAGCAGGAATCTGGGTGCTGGTACCATAGTTGTTTCTCCCATCTTTCACCAGCACAACACATTTTACCTGCTTAAAATATGTCTCACCCAAAGACAGACCACGTCCTTTGTAGTGCATCTCTTGGGTTCAGGAAGGTAGTCAGATGGTTCCTCAGTCTTATCTCTGAAAACGACCTCTATATGAAAAGCCAGGACTATGTATCTGTGTTCAAATCCTAAATTGTTTCCAGATCCGTTTATTTTTGCAGACTGGTAAAACCAAATTTATTCTCATCCAGTGGACCGTACCAAAGCAAAGCAGCGAATGCATGAAAAACATCCTCTAACACTGCTCTTGCTTCCTTGCAGAGGTAAAGAATTACGAGCTTCCTTTTGGGTCAAAAGTCCAGGAGCAACCTTGCGTGGATACCATGAGGGACATCGTGCTGCATGGCAGAGGACGCCCCGAGATCCCGAGCAGCTGGCTGGTGCATCAGGTAAACTGGGAGTAGCTGGTTCAGAAAAAGAGCAACCCATATTGTTCCACTTCAGTAACCCAGCCTAAACCCCATCACAGCTGTAATCAAAGCAAAAGCAGACTGAATTCCTGGACCCTACTTACAGCTCCTTCTTGGCAGGCTGAGCTCACGTAAGCCCCCCAAGACCCCATTCCCTAGTGTTTAAAAAGCTGTCAGCCAGGAGTACAGCAAAATTTAACGATAAATAAGTTGCCCCGATCAGGAAGCGTTACGAATGCCAAGCGATGGTATTCAGGTACCTTGCAGATAACAGCAGAATGGAGCATTTTAGCGCAAGCTACTCTCATGAAACAGGAAATTATTTGAGTCTAGCCCATTTCTCCCGTAACCACCATATCCAGGAACACGCGGTCCCTGCCGCACAGCCGTCTCACAGCAGGGACTGGGGGCAGAAATGTGCACCCAGCCTCCTGCCCGCACAGTTGTGGAGGTTTCAAGCTCAAAATTACCTCTAACGTGAGAGGTCAGGACTTGGCATGTGAGAAGAAGGACTTCTGCAAGGAAAGCCAAATGGGAAGCATCTCCCGCGCGTGAAACGATCAGGGAAATACGCATGAAGCCGAGAGCAGGGAACCTGCCAGACTCAACTCTTGTCAAGGGGAAGTCTTTCAGCTCAGAGGGTCCGAAAGCACAGCATCTCAGCACAGAAAGCATAACCCAGCGCTCTAAAGTAGAAACACTTCAGCAACGATGAGATGCGCTCTGTTGAAACCACCCCCAAGCACACCCACACCAACCAGCTCCAGAAACACAACCACCTCCTGGCCCTGACGTGCTCCTCTCTCCCAGGTCCAGTACTGTCTTCCATGCACTGAGGACACAAGGACTAACAGGCATGCTGACTGCGATTTTCAACTCTTGCTTGACTTTGGTACTTCTTAAATTTCACGCCTTGTGGAAAAACGCCATCCGCTGATCGACAATTCAGTTCATCTGAAAAACAAGCTGAAACATTGAGCCCGCTGGCTCAGCGCATCGTTTTGCAGTATCCACCCATAAAACACACTGCTACTGCTTCCGCTCTGCTTGGATGGCATACAAAGCCAGGGTTTCCAAAAGGAGAGAAAGCATTTTGTGATCTTAGGAGGCCACGTGTTTCTTACAGTATCTCCTCTCAAACCAATGTTTGTCCAAAGACTCACAACCAACACGACCGACCAAAGCTGCAAACAGCATCAAATGAATCTGTGGTTTCTGCTGGACCGTCAGTGAGTTTATCAGTCCGCAAGTCCATTTCTGAAGTTCACTCAGCCTTTTTCCTTGATGAAGGCAAATACAGGAACTTCAGTCAGCACTGCTACATACTTGAAGTCTTTGAGTATTCATCACAGACATTCACCTCCCAGGGTCTCTGATAAACTTTGAAACCACAGGAAAAACACGCAGAGGCTTGGGCTGTGAAAAATCACACTCCGACAGAGCCTGAGCATAACTGCGCTGTTTGCTGACCCGAAGAAGGGCTGACTGCAATCACCGCCGAGAAATAACGTTGCTGTAGTTGGGTTGGTCGAGCACGTAAAGAGAGCGAGGCTTATAAAGGTAGTAACTTTTATTAGACCACCTGATACTCACTGGGGAAGAGGAACAGAAAAGCCACGTTGTGTTCCTGAAAGTTTGCCTCCAACTAATCTTAGCTGATGTAATAAACATCTCCTTACAAGCCTGGCTTTACACGATTTCCCGGGCATTTTGCAACCAGTCTCCCCAAGGATGCAGCATAGGGCAGCACCATCTGCTGGGAAGCAGCAGAAAGCCACCGGTTTGTGCCAAGGGCTTCCATGGGAATCACAGAATGGTCGAGGTTGGAAAGGACCTTCAGAGATCATCCAGTCCAACCCCCCTGCCAGAGCAGGGGCACCTACAGCAGGTTGCACAGGAACACATCCAGGCAGGTTTTGAATATCTCCAGAGAAGGAGACTCCACAGCCTCTCTGGGCAGCCTGTGCCAGTGCTCTGCCACCCTCAAAGTAAAAAGTTTTTCCTCATGTTGAGGCGGAGTTTTCCTTGTTCCAGTTTGTGCCTGTTGCCCCTTTTCCTGTCGCTGTGCTCCACTGAAGAGTCTGGCCCCATCCTCTTGACACACTCCCTTTAGACATTTATAAGCATTGATGAGATCCCCTCTCAGTCTCCTCTTCTCCAGGCTAAACTGACCCAGGTCTCAGCCTTTCCTCAGAAGAGTCAAGTGCTTCCTGCAGGAGGAAGCGTTGGGTGACACCAAAAGAGGGTGACAAATCACTCACCTGAACAGGAAGCACCCGTAGATGTTCCCACCAACAAAAAGAAGTTTGATACAGAGCTCCAAATGCTACTTCCACGTTTCTACCCACCAGGATCCCTCTCAGCCAAGTGAGGGCCTACATTGTTGGCCACGGTTTAAGATTTTTCAGCAGACATAATCGTTAATTTCCCTGACAGAGCTGACCCACCCCACCTGTGCTGCCCGTCAGCACCTCCACCACAACTGTTCACACAATAAAGCCCATTGAGGAAATTTATCCCCAAACTTTCCCAGGTAACTTACAAACACCTTCAGCCCATGCTTCCACCTCGCTTCACACCCCACCACATCAAAAAAAAAAAAAAAACAACACAAAAAAAACAAAAAAAAACCAACCAAAAAACCACCACAAAAAAACTTAGGTGGTTTTTTAGGCCAGGTAAATTCCTGGATCTGGTTCACAAAGCAGCCAAACAGACTGTTGTACCAGCCCAACCGAAGGGCTGGTGCAGAACAGTAAGGAGCAGTGGGAGCTTAAGTGAATATTGCCACTAAAAATATACTTGTTAAAACTCGGCATCCTTTGGAAATCTGAGATATCAAATATAAAAGCCAAACTAAGTGCATTTTGTGAGCGTAACAAGATGTTCCAGTTGTACCATTCAAAAAAGCATCATCTCTACTTCCAAGGCAAGCTGCAAATAAATGTCATGATTTCAGGGTAAAATTAAGCACAGAAAATCTAACAACTAAACCATACGACAGTGCCATGTTCTGTTGAGAAAAGGCTTATTTTAAAAGCTTCAGCTAAGCTAGCTCATTTTTGCACATTAATCAATTATCCTCAAATCCTTTCGACTAAGCTAATAAATGAGTGACGTAAGAGGTACTGAAACGCACCATCTGTCAGTTTTACTGCACAATCCTGTTCTCTCTAATCTGTGTCCATTATGGAAGATTTAGTACGATGAACCTTAGGGGCGAGCAGCGAGTTCAGAGAAAGGGGCAAGGAGGACAGACGACACTGACGGTACGTCTTTGCAGGAATTGCATTTTCCTCTTGCGTTGGTCTATATGAGGTTTTTGGCTTCTCTTCATTGCAGATTAAGAAATACACAAAATCCACTGAAAAACACGAAGCTTTATTTAGAGTAATGATTTTTCCACTGTGTTGCAACCTGGGTTGATAACGATGCAGAAAGCAATAGCACATGATAGGAATTATATAGGCAAAGGAAGGTTCGGCACAGCTTCTGGTGCTAGCTGCGCTGCCAGCTTAAGAGGGGGGAAAAATACCAGCTGAATAGTGCCATTTTGTTTCTAAGCCCAAAATTTTAGGACTCTTAAGCTTGGCCAAAAAAAAAAAAAAGCGTTTCTGCAGGAAGCTGTCAAAAGTATGGTAAAACACTGTGACTGCTTTAGATCAGCTTCTAGCTCCTCTTCCTCCTGCCCTCAGATCTTAATTTCCGCCCTTTTGACTGCAGGGAATGCGTTTTCTGTGCGACACCATCACGGAGTGCTGGGACCACGACCCCGAGGCTCGCCTCACTGCCCACTGCGTGGCCGAGCGCTTCAACCTGATGGCACAGATGGATTGCGATGACATCCTCAACAACAACACGGACAACGAGGCCACCAAAACAGCCTCTCCCGGCGGGGAGCACCAGGACAGTGACGGGAGCAGAAACACGCAGTGACGCAGCAGGCAAAAAAGCCTCATCGTGAGAGATGAGGGGAAAAGCAAGGAGCGTTTAGCTCATGGGGAAAAACCCTGCTTCGTTTTTCAAAAATGGAACTAAGATCTAGTACATAACTTATTTATAAGATCTGTTTCCTCCCACAGATACAGTGAACTGTGGAATCAATACTTCGGTTAAAGTGCAACATTATATATGAACTGATTTTGTACTTACTTTAAAATGTATAATGATGCAAAGCATTCCTTTTATTATTTTTTAAAATAATGTTTAATCTTTTATTAATAAGCACCTGAATGCCATGTCTACCTTTTGAAGTCCTTCCACATTGCCATCATGAGTTCTTCTAACTACTTATTCTGCACAGATCAAGACAATTTTCAATTTTCCTTTAACAGCCTCCACACACAAAAAATATGAATGTGTTGTAGCAGCAGAAAAAAAAAAAAAAATCTTGAGATGTAACACACTCTCAGTAGAAGAAATGCTGGCACCCATGAAAATTATTCATTGATCAGACAGCCCTTCATATACTATAAAGATACCCCAGTTTGCAAAAGCCGGATTTGCTGCAACACCAACACACTTTTTTCCACTGGGGAGCTCCTGGGTGTACTTGATAGTTCAGCTAAGTGCACAAAGTTTCTTCAGTAGAAAAAAATAGTCCCCAGTGTAGACGCTACTGTTTCACTCCAAGAAAGTCTCCGTACAGGGTATCTACACAACTCTTCCCCTATATCAGTCCAGTTTTCAGCCACCTCCAGCCCAGAGATTTGTGCCACAGTAATACCGTGAACACAAACGCGTTGGCCAATTCTTGCAACCCTTTCACACCCCTCTGCTGTGTTACTCAACCTGAAGAAACGTGATGAGACAGAACCGGGACCTTTACTCCCGTAACCACCAGACCACGCCTGGCTGCCTGTGGAGTGGAAAGGCAATTAAGGAAAGGTAAGTCCTACCTCGCTCTGAACCCTGGCACTGCACAAATCTTAATCCCTCCACCCTTGGGAGCAAAAGGTAATAAAAACCTACTAAGAAGCCCTGCAAGCCCATACCTGACAGTCACCTACGCAGAGATGTATCTTGGAGAGGAATACTTTGCTTGCCAGCACGCAGCTGCATGGATCGGCCCCTGCAAGAGACAGAAAGGGACAAAACCATGCAACAGCCACGAGCTTCCCACAGCCGAGGCTCCCCAGCGTGGAGCAGGGAAGCAGATCTGCAGGGCTGTTTCGGGTTTCTAAAACGCACAGCTATGACAGCACCAGCCCATACCAAAAGCTTTTCTTCTCTCACTATTGTTGCCACCTCCTTGGACTGTTTCCACAGCTCCTAAATTAAAACCCTAGAACAAAATTGTCTCTAATTCCTTTGAAGGCGGCCAGAAGGGGAATGAATTAGGTTACATTAAATCTAAATAATAAAAACTAATTTGGCTACCAAGTATAAGTCTCCACCTGCAACTGTGACCATACCTTTCATTGTCACCAATCCCCCACCTGGCTGCTACCTCCTGTCACCTTATGACTGTTTCAAACTAACCCCCTTCTCCCCAGTTCACCAGAAACACACCCTTTCCACGAACCTGACTTCAGCCTCATTTCTTTAATATATTAACCACTGCTCTACTGTATATATACCCAAGATGAACAGAGAGCATGGGGCAGCTTTTCTGACATGGAGATAAGAAGCTACGGGAACACACCGAACTCCCCCCAGGCTGTCCAGTCTTTCTTTCTCGGAATATTCAGTGCAGAATTTCCCCTACCAAGTTTTGCACCAAGTTGTCTGGATGTAACACCAGTGATTATGTTAACTTTTCTTCCAAGTTCAGTTCAAGAGGCTTTAAAAGATGCTCTGACCTGTTCTTCCACAGGTGACTGGGACAGGGGGGGATCAGCCCGTGCAAACTAGACCTTGAAGGCTGCATCTCTGATTCTGATGGCTGAAATCAAAATTCTCCTGGGGAGACAGAGACTTAATCCTAGGGTTGGCTGAAAATAGGCTGAAAAACTTCTCGATCTATTCCTCTCTCCACGCCTAAGATCTTCAACACTCCGATTTACATAATGCATTTTTTTTTTCCATGAAAACCAAGTCCAGAATCAAGCCGTCAGGATTATACGCTTGAATGCCCATGTTAAATAGGAGGGACTGTGTTAAATAGGAGTCACTTTGTTTTAAGTAGGAGCCTCTGTTTTCCACGAGCAGCAGGGTACACAGCACCTCTGAAGAAAGCCACTTATTTAAACTCTAAGATCTGTTTATAACCCAGGGAGCCTAAAACCACTGAGATCAGTAAGAATTTTGCCCTTAACTTCAGTGGAGCCCAACCAAGCAAAGAAGACAGAAGCAAAAATAAGCCAAAATCCTGTATTTTACCACACTCCCTGTTGAAGACACTGTGGTTCTAGCAAATATCTACATAGGAAGCAGCAGTGAGCCCTTCCCTTCGCTCCAGAAGGTGCAAGATGGAAACAACAGCAGTTAAGCAAGTGAATCAAATCTGGTCCAAGTTAAAAATACACACATTAGTCCATAGGGTGCTTGCAACTCAGAAAAGTCATAAATGTCTTACAATTTAAGCTGGATATTCAGTGGCTAGAATTTTTTAACTGCTTTCAACTATGTCCTCTATTTCTAGAAGTAACTAGAAATTTGCATCATAACTAAATCCACATCACGAAGCCATCCCAGTTCTTGTGATCATCTGAGCAAAGGAAGGCTTTACCTTCCTTTTTTTTCCAGCAGCAACCCCATGTTAAAAGAAATCGTTTCACGTATTTTAAAAGACAACTTCTTCAGCATTGGGTCTATTTTTACACAACAAAATTAGTAACAGCTTTCTCAGTGCGAAACCACAAGCATACCAGATGAGGGTGGAAGAGAAATAACTTGACTAATAATATTATATAAGAAACACAAATGGGTTTATAGTCAACATGGGAGCTTTTCAGTCTGTTTTACAGCTATCACCTTCACAAATTCCCAAATAAAAGTTTTAAGCAGAGCCCAGTGACTGAGCCACAGGTCTATATTTTAATAAGCACAAGTTGATCCCCGGAGTATGTTCAGCTGATAAAGGTTTGTTTTCTGCTCCGATGACAGCAGTATTAAAAGCTGGACCTCGCACCACAGCCCTTGCTGATTGTTTAAAGTAAATCTGCCACGTGACACAGATAAAACAACTATGAAACACGTACAGAGTCATCCATTTATTTTCTGCCCCTCTACCACCCCCAGTTTGGTGCGGGTTCTGATGAACCATGGAAATTCATGTGTTGCCACCATGATTCCTACCCCAAATCCTGGAATTGGCCACGAAGCACACCCCAAATGTGCCGCAGACCCAGAAACAAGGAGGAACTAATCCCACTGTTTTCATTTTTATTTTTATTCCTGGTTAAACATGAAAATGCCCAATGGATATCCAAAACTAACACAACAGGATGGTTGTATAGAATAGCACACACAAGACAGCAGGGCCTAAAACATTCTTCTGCTGGAGAATATATTTACTACTCAAGTGCACAGTGCCAAAATATCCCACTTTAAGGGCCAAGGAAAGCCCAGACAGACAGATCTCCAGCATAAAAGATAACAACAACCTACTCTTCCTGGTCACCTGATCTCTAGGAAAGCACACAGAACAAATGAATCATTTTGTAGTTTTATTATCCCCACCCCCAATTCTCACAAACGGACTATGACTCACATTGAGATCTCAGTGCATTTCACAGAAAAAAAAAAAAAGATGTACAAGAGGATCAAAATAGTTGTGCATAAACCCAACTCTTTTTTCTTTTTTTGCACAATTTACAGTTTGTGTTGAAAGTTAAGGTGGTTATTTAAACCTTCTGATGCATTCTTACACTTGTATCTTCTCCACGGAAAACATCTTACCAGATCACACAGTTGTGAGTTCTCGTAACGCTGGATCAGGTGCCGCCATTGCCATGGCTGGGAAGTGGCAGATAATGTTATATACACTGACTGGAAGACTACATCAGAAGAAAAAACAGAGTAAGGCACCACTGTTGGAAAAATTAAGGTAGCTTGTAGTTACAATAACGAAAGCCATAGTAAGTACTATTCTTAATTGCCAGCAATTCTTAGACTTCAATAAAATAGTTATAAAAAAACAAAACAAAGGATGTTTGTACCTGAATACAGTTTCCTGATATCTGATTGTGTTTCAAATCAATACCCAGTCCTCAGCATAATCAGCTTTTTTTTTTTATGGTAAGATGAAAAACCAGGACCTACAGTCCACGTATACACAGGTCACATTTCACTGCTTTGTTCCGAATAACACCACAGGAGACAAACCAAAACAATCCAAAGGACAATTTGTAACACTGATACTTCCCCTCTGAGATGATTAGATGGGCAGAGAAATTTAAATACAAAATTGTACGTTTTCTGTTCATTTTGAAAGCCTTAGTCCTTGGGAAGGGAAGGTGGAGGAAGAAGAAAAAAGGCCAGACCTCATTACATTATAACATGAGAAAAATCAAAGTCACTCAAAGAGATTTAATAAAATTAGGAGTTGAAAAGCGTTCAAATTACTTTTCCAATTCAAGTCAATTATTTCAAGTATATTAAAATGTTTCAGAGGAAAAATTTCTCCATGGTTACAATTCTTTTATAAATCCATAAAAAAGAAAGGTAGTCTCTACATATATCCCATATTCCTCCGATGCATGCACACGTTCTCTCTGAAGAAAAAAAGTCATCACGATCCAGTTGTTTCTTAACACTGATTTCAGGCACATCTTCCAAACATCCCTCCAGTTTTTGCCAGAAAGGTTAATCACTGGGCATAAAAGCAGCAATTTTTTGTTGCTGTTGTCTACATGGGTACTGAGCAGGTTTCAGTTAAAGAGCTTGATGCTGATTCTGAAAAAGTTCCCATGTCACTCCAATATCCAACAGTTTCTTCTTCTCTTAGGCAGCTTTTGCAACCAGATGTACTTAGAAGAATCTTACACAATTCAGATAAAATCTCTTGGATCATACAAAAAACAAGTTGGTTGAATGTACCTGGCAAGTTTGTCTCTACAACTTTTTTTTTTTTAAACAGCTTTAAAGTGCCCTAGTATACTTATTTCTTTATGCTCATTTAAACTTTCACAATTACATAAAAAGGGGACACTCAGTGTAATTACTGTGTTTTGAGAGACAGGGGAAAAAGGAGAGGAAAATCAGAAAACTCATCTTAAAGCAGCTTTTCTAGTTAGTGTCCATTTGCTGGATTTGCACAGCAGAGACTGTTTTCCAGAGGGGTT